ATATATTTTAGAAAACATTTTATATTTGATAGCCACACAAGGGTCTTCCACTCACCCATTACATAAACAAAACATGAACTCTAATAAAAATGCCAACAAGATTGCAAGGGAAACTTAAGGACAGGGTGCATGATGGGAAATTTTCTGCATTCCTCAATTGAGTCACATGTTATTTTTCAAACAAGAATAACTCCTTTCCCACATTGTCTACATCTTTCAAGTTTGCACAAAGAGTGCACTTATGTGCCTAGAAAAGTGTTGTGAGAAGGTTTGCTTTGTAAAATGTATAAAAAATGAGAAAATACAGTGAAAAAAAATTATGAAAATTTTCTGATTTTTTTCACGGAATTTTCTTATTTCTTATACACTTTATCAAAACATTCTTCTCACAATTCTTTTCTAGGCACATAAGTGCACTCTTTGTGCAAAACTGGAAGATATAGACAATGTGGGGAAGGAGTGATTCTTGTTTGAAAAATAACATGTGACTCAATTGAGGAATGCAGAAAATTTCCCATCATGCACCCTGACCTTAATCTATGAATTGGACTTTGCCATATCACATGTATTAGTCCCGTGACCAGGGAAGGGGAGGAGGGGGGGAGGTTGAGAGACGACCCTCTCCCCTAGGCACATTTTCTGTCAACATCCTGCAATTTTTTCACCACTTTAGTACTTTTCAAGTGATGTTCGGATGATGCTTTCATTTAATTGCTAGCACTAATGGTTTCTCTTGATTCCTTACAAATCAAAAATTCATGCACATCAGGTGATCTAGTTTTTCAGCACAGGGCCCTGAAAGCTCTATTTGAGCTTGAAGTAGAAGTAAGCATAGTATTACTGTTTGTATTATTAATCTCTATGGTTTTTCAATAGGCTAACTCAGTCAGTGAATGCAGGATTAAAACACAACACACATGAGTAATTCACCCACCTATGCATGTTATTATTGAAAAACATTGCCATCTTTTACATCACTGCTAAATTATTTTTGTAAACATGCATTTTAAGAGTTCATTTTTTCAAAAAAAACTCAAATACAAACTTCATGGAGTTCCTTACATACTTTACGTGATGAAACATGTGTTCAAGTACAATGTAACTTTGCATAAAAAATTGTAAAAAATGAGGGACGATGGTGAAAATGACGAATGTATTTTGAAAAAGCTTGTTGATGGGTGGATTTAACATGGATTATAAGATAATCCAATTGATCTGGAAACTATTCTTTGAACTTTTCTTGAAGATTATAGATTCGCCTTTCACAAGCATTTACTTTTTATGGCCAGAAACTACTCACAAAAAAATAATCAACTGTCAAAAGTCTGTTGCGATACTTTCCCTGGTCCTTTGAATTTTCTTTTCTCAAACATGAATGATGATAGCTCCCCTGCGAAATGTAGTTGCTGGTGTTCATGAATTGTTCTTGAACAATAAGAACTGTTCAAGAACTGTTCTTAATGGTTCTTAAAATTGTATTCAAGAACTGAAGTTCTAAATTAATTCTTGAACTCAATTTAAGAACACTTTAAGTACACTTTAAGAACAACCAAATTCTTAAAAAGTTCAAAATATGTTCATGAACGAATAAAGAATTATTTATGAACTATGGAAATTCTATATTAGTTCGGAAAAGATTCAAAGAACATTTTAAGAATTGTATATGAATCAAACAATATTGCATTAGCCAATGAATGTGCAAGTTGAACAGATTGAAACAGTGAGTTAGAGATGCAAATCCAATTTCTATCAGTCTCTGTGGGACTGGTATCACTGAACTCAAAATTGAATCAAATCGCTTCATGACCAAGAAGCGAAAAGAATTACAAATTCAATTTTAAAAGAAGAATAACTTAATGCTCAAAATTGTGTTCCGTACCCCTTTTTGAATTCTCGACAATTCAAGACAATTTTGAAATGTTCAACGGAATAGTCGGTCCGCATATAGTCCAGGGTTATATCGCGTACCAATATAGAAAATACCTAGGGAGACTATATTTACTCCGACACCGGAAACACAAGATGTACGTTGCACAAAAATGCCAATGAGATGTTGAAAACGTTAATGACACAAAACATCAAAGGACCCGGGGGAAATAAATATGCGATAATTACCCTTATTACTATGTTTAAACACATAAACTATCAAATAAGCTATCATACATCAAAATTATTCATTAAAATTGTTACCCCAAGACCCCCTCCCACCAATGCAGCAGTACTTAAACTTCTATATTTTTGTTAACTAGGCTTCTCTTCTTATGCCATAAGCATAGCGTTTGGAGATGATGACATGTATTTATTAACTATACTGAACTAATAAATAATGATAAAAAACGAGAACCATTCCATAAAGCCACGCAAGCTACTTAAATAGGCTTTTAAGAAGAATCCGGCGGGTAAAATCCAGAATTAATTTAGATATTGTTCTAACAATAAATATTCTTACATTTTTTCAACCCATACGATTGATGATTGAACTACACCGAACTAGCCATACTGGCATTCTGTCCAACGAGTGTATGCAGGGGTATAGCCAGCTTTCGGTCGGGGGTGGGGGGGCGATCGCCAAAAAGATTTCGGTTTTCAGTCAGGGGTGTGTGTGTGTGGCATAAGCAACACAAAAAGATTAACATTTGTTTTGAATTTTACAAAAATTGATGTAACTTCCTTTAAAATTGAGCCAGACGCTTCAAATAAAGAGCATTTTAAAGTTCTTTTCTTTTATCTAATGGTTGTATTTTCATTGGTTAAGGGGGGGGGGGGGGGCACCATCACCATTACTCTTGGCTACGCCTATATGGTATGTATATTTCTTTTATTGACAAAAGTGTCAAGGCATGACACATTAGTCTATGTACAAACTAAGAAACTAATCTAACTAAAAACTAACTACAAACTATGAGAACACATGGATAAGAATTAAATCTAAAATAAAACTATATATAGGAAGGACTTCAAATGTCAATTGTAAGTCCTTGCTTAAAGTCTAGATGCACGTCGTGGGATTGGCAGTATAGCACTCTACTTGTTAGTTTGCACTAGAATATGGTGAAAGTGTAGAATTTCACCATATTGAATGGCCTATCATTATTTATTCCGATTCAAACATAAAAATGAAACCATTGTTCAGGGAAATGGAAATTGGACTGGGACTGGGGTCCATAAATTAATCAAACTTGCTGTTATTTTATTTTTCTGTTATTTAGAAAATGTTCATTAGTGGCTATAATGCATTCTGATTGGTTGAGAAATTCAATTAGAGCACGGTCATGTTGAAATCAGTGTCATTTCAGTAAACCAAGTACCCCAGGCAGGCACGAACCCAGATTTTGCTGCCAAGAGGGAGTTCACATTTTGAAAAATTTCACCACTGGGGAGGGGTTCAGAGATAAATTTGTCTCAAAATTACTCGAAAAGGGCTCAAAATAGTGAAAACTGCATGATTTTGGAAATAATATTGGCCAGGATATTTAGCCAGTTGATTGACGAGCGTGACATGGAATAAAAAGTATGTAGTATTTAGATTGTCAGTTCCACCCACGAATTTAATTAAAACAAATTAGATTATTGGATATTTACAAGTTACAAACGAACATTGTCCAATGCCAATCCCTGTACCCGATCAACTGCTTTTAGGAAAATGATTTGAACCCGTTACGGGGACTTTATTCAGCTCCACGCGGTAGTAAGTAATCGCGTTTAATTACAATTTTTTCAAGTGTATACCAGTATATTATACCGTTAGTAGTACGTCATGCTTTTTTGAGAATGTAGTAATTTTCAACAATTGGGTCTTAGCAAATTTAAAAGTATGTTTCTCGTCTTTCGAAATGGTCTGCGATCAACCCTTTCCTTGACTGTTTTATGATGTTAGGTCTTTACAATGATTTGACATGTCATTTTTCAGTGGTAGTAGATGAATTAATTCTGTTAAACAGACAACTTGTCCCAACTCATCGCTAGAATTTTTGAATCTTGAAAAACTTAAAAGTGCAACAAATACTACAATGTAGAGACGACTTTCTGAAATATACGTTACGATATTACAATATTATTTGCTCAAAAGATTCCACGTCGTTCTTATAAGTCCAATAAATTAGGTGTGTGGGAAATATTGGCGCCTTTTTGTTGTTATTGCTTACATCGCATTCTACGCTCATTTACTAATTACTCAAAAGCTCCCTCACCCACGTTATGGGCGTGGCTAGCTATGCGACAGGCGAGGCAATTGACTCACAAATATTCTACAATCGATTTTTTATATTGCTGAAATTGCTATGATTTTCGATTTTTTATATTGCTGAAATTGTTATGATTTTCGATTTTTTATATTGCTGAAATTGTTATGATTTTCGATTTTTTATATTGCTGAAATTGCTATGATTTTCGATTTTTTATATTGCTGAAATTGTTATGTTTTTCGATTTTTTATAGCGCTGAAATTGTTACGTTTTTGCCATATAGAAATATTCTATCCTTTTTGAGGCCTATTCAAATTTGCCTCGCTAATTTCTGTATCCCGGAGTAAAAGGGTAGGAGGTCCTATAAAATTATGGCCATACTCTCCATGATTTATATGGTGACCTAAATACAACTCTTTCCCTCATTATCTTATACGCAATCAGGGCCAGTAAGGGCCTTTAAGAAAGGGGACCATAATCCCCAGGGGACCATAATTTCTTTTACAATGGCTACGCCGCTTCACGCCATTCCAATTATTTCATTCTGTGTCGATACGATCACAACACATTCGAATTCGGGTCGGTGGATGTAATGTTTTAAAGCATGACTTCATTAATGCATTGTACAGTTCTGGTTCAGATAGAAATGAACAGATTAGATTTAGAAGGTAATCAATACGCGATGAAGGTCACCAGACAGCGATATATTACTTACTAGTTAATATGCATCTCATAATGTATATAACACAGTGAGAGCGATTAATTTAATTAACTATGTAATTAATGATGATAATGATACAGTCTGAATTCTCTTACCTCATTGTTGTGCGCCCTGGAGCGAGTCGAGCAATGCGTTTTTAATGCAATATCCTCACGATCACGGTTGTACTTGTATCAAAAGGTGTATCCTTAGGGAGTTCCGACTATACTCCCATTGCAATGTCCGTTGTTAAACTGTGAGCGAACGCCGCAATAGGTTGCTCAATATTATTGTTTTCTATGCGGCCGACAACAGAGCTTACCTCAGCGCCTGATCATTAGTCTAGCACGACATGATTCTAGATAAAATACAGTTGACTCCCTTACTACAGAGTTCCGCTAATCAGGATCTGCTTATAGCGCTCTATTATTAACAGGAGCCGTCTATTATATACTGTAGGGCTATGCTATACCAACGAACATCATCATCACGTATATAATCCCAGCTTCTCTCCCTGTACCAGGTTGACGTTAGGGTTGCCAATTCATTTACCGTTGTCTGCAATATTCCAATTAGTGGAAAAGCTAGTCAGGTTTATAATTGAAGTTATATTACACTCTAGGCATTACGCTCGCAAAGTGCTCTTTCTTTAGAATATGATCACAATGGAAGAAATGTTGATCCCGGTGTTGATGTGCGAAAATCATCGAATTGCCCATATTGGACTTACCCGAATCATCAACTTGATACGTTAAATTAAACTATCCACTTGTAAAGACGTTATATCAATCAAGACGAAAAGAGAAAAAATGATTAATCGACGAAAGATAAATGAAGCTTCAATTGCACTTTATGTCAAACACCAATTAGGTGCTCGTTTTGGGACCTAAAATGAGATTTCTCTCATTACAGAGATGGCAAATAAGAGGTTCGAGTTTACTTGATCTATCTTGAAGACTAGACAGTTAATTTCTTATCAAAAGAAAGATATTTTATGTACACACACCGAAAAATCACTAAAACTATTTTGAATATTAATTATTCATGCATATCTGAGTTCTTATCAGATAAGGGGTGCACGAAGTTCAAAAAGGACTTATTTTCATTTTAGTTTCTAAAAAAAGATTTCGAATCATAAGAAACAAAAAAGTCACAAAAGGAATGGAATATATATTTTACAAAAATAAAAAATGACACATGGCTTACGAAAATAATAATATTCTAAAAAATTTAGCGATTCAAGTATTAAATGGCCATGTAGGCATAATGAAAAGCTAGGACATGTTACTTTTTTACAAAAAATATTTGAATCTTTGGATTCCCTAGCTAAAATCAGTAACTACAATGTACAGGGTAGGTTCAAGAAAGTCGTGATTTAGTTGGCAATAATCGTGTTGATTTTCTTTAAAAATGTCGACAGCAATAACCCAATCTGTATTTTGTCTGCTAAGCTGACCTTTGATCAAAATCTTAATATTTCAGTCTATTTTTACCCTGCGTGCAGACGAAACTCTCTTAATTTAAGAAGTGAAGTCAAACGAATGCAAAGGGTAGTCTATTTTAAGGACGTCAAATAACAATTCCAATGTTTGACCCTGAGAAGTTTTTATGTTTTCGTTTGTTCTGTGACCTATCTTGAAAATTTTATTCGTTTTAATAACTTTGAGAAAAGGTCTCGAAAGGAGGACGGACAATGTATCCCATGAACATTTGCCACTAATAATTTATGTTAACCAATCAGCAATTGTGCCTTATGAGAACGCAATGGTAATTTGAGAATCCATTAAATCAACAATCTGCCCACCTCAATCCGGTAACAATGAAATCTCAAGAGTTTATTTTTCCAACTTCTTTGAGCTTTTGTGACTTAATCTTTGCTCTTGATTGTTGGCCTGTCCATTGAAACTTTATTGACCGACAGCCGGTGTTTCTGTTTCCTTTCCGTGGTCCACATTTAAAACTTAACGAGACGTGCTTAAGAAGTACAAATATTCACGATATCCACAAAGAGCAATGCATAATCAATACCATTCTGAAAAATTAAATTCCATGGTAAGTGCAATTTTTCTATTATTTTTATGATTTTATTTATATAGAATATTTATTGAGTACATTCACACCCCTGAGGGTCAGGTACAAGAAAGTGCAGTACACAAAAAGAATATATATGATTTAACACTAGACTACTATATACTACATATAATATATGCTTAATACTGTAAAATGTAAAATATGTATTACTACAAAATGCTTTTTTGCGCAGCAGGAATTAGCCTTTCTAAATTAAGTATTGCTTTCTAAAATTCGGAAGGCATCACTAATATATTTTGCAACCTTGATGCAATCTTGATTTATACAAGTTAAGAGGTATATAAATTGATTTGTTTGTGCTTTTGCCGTATCAGATAATTCAGTTTGAAGTAATAATCTTTCATTTTGATATTTTTTACACTTCATCATAAAATGTTCTTCATCATCAATAATATTGCAATGGACACACAGTCTTTCTTCAATTGGGGTTTTCTTTGGTTTTGTATATCTCCCTTGCTCAATTTGGAGGTTGTGAGCACTTATTCTCAAACGTGTAAAGTTTCTTCGCATATCAAGTCTGTCGATTATATTTAAATAATGTTCATATTTAAAATCTTTCTTGAGGGTTCTGTAGGTTCGTAGTTTATTGCCGTTATCATTTTTCCTAGTGTCAGTGTTTAATTTATTCTTCCAGTACCTGTCAAATTTTAGTTTAAGTAATGATGTACATCTTAAGGTATCAATTGTAGAATCCACAGATTCAGAGCAATTTTCATTAATAGAGCAAATTATTTTGTTTACGTTTGAAACCCATGAGTTTTCTTGTAATTCTTTGGAGCAGTCAAAAGCTGCCTTGATTAGAACATTTTTTGTATCTTTAATGTGATGTAAAAAGTTGAGAATTTGGCCAAATATACCTATAAATAGTGGATATCTTCCAAGTTCCCCATAAACAGCCATATTAGTGGCCTTTCTACCAACTCCAAGTAGGAATTTGGAAAAGGATATGTTTAATTTTTCTGAGGGGAATTTGTTTTGGTTTAAGTATGCTTCTTCTAGGTTTGAACTGGATACTTTGTTAAGACTGAAAGGGGCCCATATTTCAGCCCCATATAGACAAATTGGTTTTATCATTTGATCAAACAGTTTAAGCCCAAGCTGTGGTTTTATATCACTCTGTTGAAGGCATCTTTTAAGTTTAAAAATTGCCTTACTAGCTTTTTCATGTAGGTGTGTTTGAGCTGATATAAAGCTGCCTGATGCTCGAAATATCACACCAAGGTACTTGTATTCTTGTACACATTGAACTTGGAGTCTACCGTATGAGAAATAGTCAGTGCAGAGATGCCCGTTTTTTTGGAATTTAATTATCTTGGTCTTATTTATGTTGATATTAAGTTTCCACCTGTCACAATATTCTTTTAAGGAATCTAAAGATCTTTGTAATCCATGTTTAGAAGTCGAGAATAAAACAATATCATCAGCGTACATAAGCATGTTAATAATTTCTTTTCCAATAGATGGACAGTCATTTTTATAGCCAATAGTATCGGGTAAGTCATTTAGGAATATCTTAAGCCTCAATCACATTTACTCTAGGGCGGCCGTAAATTTACAAACATATTTCTCTTAATTTGGGGAAGCTACGACCGTTGTACGGTTGCCGTAGATCAAATGTGACAAAGGTATTAGTCGGTTGTCATTGAATGAATGGTTTTAGTATTGAAGACACCTTACAAAGTCATGCTAATAGTTTTGTGTACATTTATTTTGTGAAATGTGTAACGACTATGTTGTTTACAAGATAGTTGATAGGATATCAACACACTTCTGTACATATGCCTGCACACATGGACCCGGAGTTGAACAAAATTCTTCACACGCTTGAAAATAGAACGTAGTCATTTAGGTACATGTACGTTTGCATGGTTTGTGCAAGGGCGTTACAATACCCGGGAATTTATCGTTTCGTGCAGTACTTGTTTGTGATAGCGCCCTCTGTAGGTCACTGTGCTTATAGCCTACAGTAATACGGGGTAGGATATCGGGAATTCGGTCAGTTTCTATCCGTCGATTTCGCTATGAATTGAAGCAAGTGTGACCACTTTATCCACTTAAAAAATTGGATAATTGATCAAATCTTTAAACAAAATCGATAAACACGTTATACACTTCCTATCTCCTTAGAAATTAGCATGTATTTATGGATTGTGTTTTCGAACACGGCTCGACCCATACCAATAGGGAAATCCTTATGCTAATTAGTATGACGTCATATTTTCCTGGGGAATCCTAGATTTCAAAGCCTCAGTCTGTTATTGTGTCAAATGTAAACGATCTTTTGCAGACAGAAAATTGACAGATTAGCTTTTAACTTTCAGCTTTGATGTTTAAATATTCTGTATTTCTACCGGACTTCTTGCTGAATATCATATAATGTTATAACTTGATTTGGACAATTGCCTGATTGATCATTCTGAAATTTTGATTGTGATTCATGATTGATTGGCAAGAAAAATAATTCCTATTGTTTTCCAGCGAAGTCAAAATGTTACAGCATGAGTTATAATGTCGAGTTTGCATCATGTTAAATTCTGCTAGTGATTAGAAGTCCATGCACAAGCATACACATAAGAGACAAACACACCCAGGCTCCAGGCTGTGGATGGAAATATAAAACTATTTAAGGCACAAACTGGTATTAAGACCGATATGTAGTGTCTGCCATGTATTGAAGGTAAACCAATCTGTATTATTAATGTTTCTTCTATCAATACATGGGTTGTGCAATAGAAAAGCAATGGCACAATCAAAAATGTGCATATCAATCGTGAATATCTCTCGGTTCAAAGCTTATTTCCAACAGAATCGTGTCAAAATATGTGTCTGAGTAACAGTTATACATTATAAGATCGCAAACTCTTACCAATTATCAGCCGAATGGCTGATTTTCAACGAAATGTCCTTAAGACAACAGCCCTGGGTCGCGCCTGAGACCAAAAACTACTTCAAATAGCCCTCCCCTAATTATATTGGATAATCACATTTATGCGTGCGCGCGCAGCTCATCCACTGAACGAAACGCCACTTCCCGCTGAAATCACCGGGTATTGATCTTTCCCTTGGTTTGTGGAGACCAATAATGTGATTTATTTCGACTCTCAAAGATCGGGAAGCTGTGTATTATGACCTAACCCAATTATACAAAGTTAAGTTATTTTTTATCAAATTCATTCGATAGATGTCTATGTTGGTTTGTTATTATTTTGTCGTTTATTTTTTTATTATTTTTCTGTGCTCTCTCTTACGTTAGATTTATTTCAATCGAAAGATGGCTCCTGTCACTCTGGTTGACTTTGCTAACTTTTTTATGTATTAGGATACGTTTACGTAAAATCTCGGCTTCACCACTGGCTGTGATTTCTTCTTTTATGTAATCACAGGTTCCGACCTATATCACTGCCTTTTACAGAATAATTGATATACCGGGTGTCCCCAAAAGTGGGGTTTACGTCAAATCTCGGCTTCACCACTGGCTGTAATATCTTATGTTATCTAATCACAGGTTCCGACCCCTGTCACTATACCCACCACCCTATGAGATTACAAATTTTGCCTACAGAATGATTCATTATCGGGTGTCCCCAAAAAGTGAATCACTTTTTGACAAGTGTTTTCTCAGCAGTTGGTTACTCAAATAAATTGGAAATTTCTATAAAGTAGGGTATTATTGGCAAGATGTAAAAATAAGGAAGAAATCAGTTTCCTTTTATATGAGAACTGACAATCTCAAATTGCATGTCAAAAAATTCAGTATCAAAACTGCGCCATAAAACCTTCATAGCGTTTCAGTATCAAAACTGCGCCATAAGACCTTCATAGCGTTACCTTCTATTAGGTAATTTAATCTGTCAATCAGTTTCAGTCTCAAAAACAGCTTATCTTTGTGTCAGGTTTATTGATTTGTTTAATTGTTCTCTGTTTCCAAAATACTTTCTGTCCAAAATTTCAGTTTTGATGGATAAACAATGCTTTAAGTGATAAGCGATAAGGCTATTATTGAAAACTATTTCAAGGTGAAAGGATTGTGTGGAAGATCAATCATAATGGAATTAAGGACAAGAGTTAGTCATGCTACTGTAAATAGATTATGAACAAAAATGCATTACATCCAACATACATTAAAGGATGGGATAATTATGACATGGGAGGCGATATCTATGAAAAAATACACAAAAGCATTTCAACTTGAAAAACAGACTGAAATAAGTAGCTTTTCCATTGATACTTGTATTGGACATTTTGATATGCATTTTTTAATGTCAATTTTCACATAATATGTAACCAATCTCTTTCATATTTGTACAACTTGCTAATGATACCCTTTAGACTAATGTATTTAATTTCCATTAAATCCATTCAAGTAATCATTTGCTGAGAAAACACTTGTTAAAAAGCGATTCATTTTTTGAGACACCCGATATAACTCATTTTATGAATTAAATTTCCTACTGTATGAAATATAAGTGGCTTCCTAACAATCACATGATAGTAGCCATATTTTGTATATGGAATCCAACTATAAAATGATAAGATAACCAACTTAGACATCTATCGGATGCATGTATTCAAAAATAAGTAAACTCGGAATACTTGGGTCAGGTCAGAATATACAACGGCTAGGGTCAGAATGCAGAATATATAAGATAAGTTGGTTGGCTTGAAAACATTTTTGTAGCTCCGCATGCTGCTCCTTTATTTATCATGTTTCCCGATTAAGCCACATTTAATAGGATACATTTCAAAAAAATTAAAAATACGCCCCATGTCTTTTTCTGGTAGAAATCAAGCATGAAGACATGTGACTAAATCTTTGCGTCGTCTTTTTAGTTGATGATCTGCGAAGAAGTTAGTTTCAATTCAAGAAAAGGCTGATTAGATTAAAAAACATTCAAAATGGCCGCCTTTTCAAATTACTTCTTAAACTTTCTCAACAGTTTCTCAGAAGTGTCAAACCTCAAGTGGCCACGTGACGTGACATTTTGCATGTACATGTATATGTAACCATTTATCAAGTACAATGTTCAATGATATAAAAAAAAACAAGCAAATAAATGGGGATCATTTTGCAAAACATATTCAGAGGGAGTTAGCGGCATGATATCAAGTTTTATGATTGAATCATAAAATCATATGGCAACGAATGTTGACCTTCGTTCAAAATGACATATTTATGAGTTAACCGGATTAAGCTTGCTGATCGAACAGTCGTTTATTCAAGTAGGTACATATACTACAACTACAATGTATCCAAACACATGTTGATAAAACGTATGCTTTCTTCAGATTAACAATTGACCAAATCAAATGGCTGACCGATGGGTCTGTGTTGACGAAAAACTACTAAAACAGCATCTCTCTCGACAAAAAACGGTCCATGCGGGCAACAGAGCATCGACTCGTCAATGACTCAATTACATCAAGGGGCTATAAAACGGGTACAGTAAGCTACTCGAAATTTTGTGGATTGGATTTTATGTTTGTTCTCAATCTATTTTTGATGACACTCACTTACGCTAACTTGTTTTGCACTTAGCTTGTTTTCGAAATCGACTTCTTACAGTTAAAGTGACTTTGGGCCATGGCCTCAATGTGATTCTCACGTTCATGAATTGAATTGAAAAAAATGAATTGAAATTGACTTTATAGTTTATAGTTTAGTTTTGTATATTGCACTTTGCATAGTGACCACGTTCTCATAATAATATTTTTGTGCTATTGTACGTTATATTGTTAATAATGCAAACGCTGGTCCAAAATTCAGAAAAAACTATTTTTCAAGACTTGACAAAGACCACTGCGTACTTGTTCCTTCAAATAGAATATTCTGCAACAGTAAATTCGCATACTGACATCCAGTCTCTGTAAAGCTTCTTATCGGATACCCATAAAGATTTGTTTATGTCATTTAAGAAACGATTTGTTAAATTGATTTCTGATCTCAAGTAAAAATGTATTTGGCACCCGAGCATTATAAATAAAACATAAGTTTTTGGTCCATCCTGCACACGCTTATACATTTTGCAATTGGATTATGCACCACAAAGGATTCGTTTCTGCATTTCAAAAATATGGTTAGGGGACGCAGATATTATTATGTACAAAGATTGAAAATTGGGTCAGTGTGAAAAAAGCATCTTGTAAGGGTGAGTGGCCATTTCAGCTCGACTTCATTTTTAATTGAAGTTATCTTAGACTTTGCGCATACTTTTTAGATTTAATAATGTATTAGTTTTGTAGGTCTCGTTTAAAGTTTAAAGTATATGCTATTGATATATTGAATTTTGAAAATAAGTACATATAATTTGCCCTTTGCCTTTGACATGCTTGGAATTCTTGCCATTTCAAAGATAAAAAGTTGATTCTTTCAAAATATCAATTTTCTACGATACATCGAGCAATGCCCATTTAGTTTATTAACATCATCGGAACGATTGATTAAATGTTATTTTTATGTGCAGCTTAAATATTATATAGCGTACTTGAAATAAATATTATAGTTGTTGAGAAGTATAAAGATATTTGATACGATATTATGGGGAACAAGTTACACATTAGTTGAACTATATATTTCATATACTGCATACGTTTCCACAAAGTTAAGCAAAAGCATATTAAAGTATTTGGTAATGGCTAGCCACATGTATTTACTATTTACATGTCGAATCCCTCGATGTGAATTCACCTTAACCAAAACTGCCCCCTTTCAAAAGCTGCAATGTTTAAGAAATTAAGTCTTAACTTTATATTCAAAAAAGGAATGAATTCTAAAAGTAAAGCGTGACCTTATTTGACCTAACCGAAGGAATGAAATATTTTATTGAATGGGTACAAACCTATAGTATTTGCTTTAGGCATTAACTTATTTTATAATTGTACATAATAATCTCAATATAGCGATCACGAGGTGCCTACTCCTCCCTACTTTTCTAAAACTCATGTCATTTTGATCTACTAAGTGCCAACATTAAGTACCAACGTTCTATTTTAAAAACTAACAGTGATCAATAATATAACACATTGAGTCAGTTTTAGAAGCGCTGGTTAAAAGTAAAAGAAAAGTAAAGTAGGGGGTGCTAGCTGCCAATAGCTTTTAAAAGAGAGCTTCATCTACATAAACTGCATCTAATTGTCCATTCTAATACTCATCTGATATTCATACTCAACTGGAATTATGGTTCTCATCACATCTTTCTGTTTTTCAACTAGAAATGATTTAATAGAAGGCCATGGTGTCTCATGCTGGGCGCTGACACTCGAGGTGATGGTTGGTTGGCCATGGTTGATTGGGTGGTTGATTGGTTCGTTGGTTTATTGATTGGTTGGTTGATAGGTTAGTTTATTGATTGGTTGGTTGGTTGTTAGATTGTTTGGTTGATTGATTGTTTGATTGGTTGGTTGATTTTGTGCGAGGCTATATGATGCCAAAAGTTTTTTTCCCGAAGGAAAAAAATCTCAGCCATATGCCCTATTGCATTCACACGCATTTTATCACCTTACCTTATGACATACAATATAATTTCAAATCCGGAAATAAAGGCACACTTTACACTCTAAACGCCTTGAAAAATGATATATATCATAATAAATAGTAATTATAAACAAACTTAGAGCAAAGGTTCATTTTGTGATAAGCCTAATCACTTATTGGTAAATATACCAACGAATGGATTTTGGTAGGATTATGTTGAGCCATCGGGATCGCCTGTTACCACATCATATCACACCACACCACACCATACCACATCACACATATCTCTTGAGTGAAAGGTGACTCACAAAGCAAAATGATTGTGAAAATGATTTCTTTGTATTTTTTCGAGATCCACCAAACTAGTGGGCAGTTGCCAATTATTCGGCAGATGTTCTCCAATATTTATTCGGATATACACTATCTATATTAACTCTCTAATATAAATGCAATATTTGATGCACCCAGTACTAAAATCATATCGATTAACATTATATATATTACTAGAAGAAATTGTTTGATAAGTCATTATTATACCATACCTCCAGAGACATCTCTGACCATACACATATTTATATTAGTAACTCACAGTGCGCGATAACAGCTGCGAAAAACAAATCACCAGGTATAAAAAGTGTTATCTAAACGTGTATTAGATTACACAAGTTATTTATCCCGATGTGTACTTCAGTATAATTTGAAATTATACTCGACGTGATTTCCGGATGTCTGATTGATCAGTTTCACTGCACTTAAACGATGATACAATTGTTCAGGATATTTCGTTGGAACAGTTACAAATCTTTTCAGTATATGGTTAATCCATCAGTATAACTATACCTTGATTTATTGGTTTTAATTGGCCCACCCCAATCAAACATTATGTCAATACGTTTTGCATTTTTATCATAATCTCAAGGACCACTTCGTGTTGGTTTTAAGTCAAGTATTTTATGGCATTCGTTGTAATACAAATCATTTCATATGTAGATCAAGGTGTGTTTTAACCGCATACCAAACGCATAAACCTTATTTTAGAATATTAAAAAGTGCAAATAGAAAAGACCAAGTATATACATGTACATGTGCGGGTCGAATAAAACACTGCTAGATCCCTGTTGATTTTCTACGTCGGGTTACATTTGAGTTAACGCGTTGCACTACATGGAGGATATAATGAGAAGCTGATAGGTAAGATACAAATACGCAATGTATAATGTACAAAGGGAAGAATGTGTATGAGGGATATTTTTCATATCTAATGAAACGTAGCATATTCACAAAAAATCAACGAATTCTATCTAGTATTTCAAAGATGGTAAGTTTAGATGTTTGAACAAGGTAAATGATATGTAGTGTTTGAACAAAGACGATGGGATTTAAACGAAAATAATGGGACTCACATTGTTGAAACAATGGAATATGTGATATCAAAACAAAGACAATGATTGGGGTGGTATTTTAAACAATTCAATTGGATGTGAGATATTAAAAAAAAAGTAATGAGAATGAGTGATATTAAAAAATAAACAAAGTGTTTAAAAAAACAATTGAATTTGTGGTACTTACAAAAATACGACAGGATGTGTGATATTGAAACAAAGACAATGGAATTTTTGGCACTTAAACAAAAACAATGGGATGTGTGATATTGAAACAAAGACAATGGAATTTGTAGTACTTAAACAAAAACAATGGGATGTGTGATATTGAAACAAAGACAATGGGATATTTTTTGGGAGGGGGTGGGAATATTAATGTTTTAACAAGTCCAGGAAATATTTCAGATGATTGCTCTGGAACTTTAATAAGCCTATTAATTTAACTAGTTAAAGAATTGAAAAAAAATTGTTTCATGACCTACAGGTAAACTAAATAAATGTAATAAAACATGAATATGGGTGTGTAACTGCTTTACTCTTACAAAATAACTAAATCAATACTCTGATTCAACATATGAATCTTTTACATTTGGTTACCAGTTTGTAATACGTTTTCTGATTAACACCGTATGAAAAGATGTCATTTTGGATCGTGTTTTGAAAATTCCTCTGAGAACTCAACATAGAAGCATTCATTCAAACTAGTATTTATTTATATAAGGGCAGCCATAATATATCTACAGAATATATCAACATGCGTGTATTGACATTATTTAAAAAGCATTTGAAAAAATGTTGAACTATTAAAGAGTTGGTGACATGCACATTGTGTGAGAGGAGTAGATTTTCTGTTTCTTATGCCATTTAAACATGTATTGGTATGAGGTTATGAGAGGAGAGACATGACATTAATGGGATGAGCTGTCATCATGAGCACTCAATAATCTCGCTTTAATATCGAGTAGATTTTAATATGTACTGTACCTGATACCAAGGTTGATTTTTTGTAGATACAAGAGAGAACCCCCTTACAGATTTCTTTAATTGGAAGACTAAGGAATAAAACATGTCTTCGCCTATCCTAGTAAATTCTGACAATACATGCATGATACTCTAAAAGACCTTAAACAATTCATCTTTCAAATATACCTACACAATTCACTCAATTATGGATTCTAAGAATATCACAAACATGACAAATAGTGAATGTCAAATTAATATAAATATGATAGATCAGAGTGTAATATCACTGAATTCCACTTAACTAGACTTGAACATGAAATAATTAAACACATAAGTTGATACATATGGATTGATGTAAAAACAAAATACCCTAACCATTAGGCCACTATGGGAGGGATGCCAACATAGCTGAGCAAACGAGAGCTTTTAAGTATGTCCGTTTAATTTCATAAAACGGATTACTAAAGCACGAGGTTTTTTTATCTGTTCTAAATGTAATAGCTAGATTGAACTGTATCCTCAACTGTAATCCAAATTGTAGTGGCCTGAATACTGTAGTTTTACGCCACTTCTCCAACAACAGCAAGCCCTGGGATAGGGTTATGCTGTTAGCACTGTCAGGTGAAATATCCATGGGACACTAACCGCGTGCCGAAGGACGATTGAATCAATCACGCGTGTCAATAAAAAAGTAAGAGTTCTGGAAGAAAATTAAAAACCTCAAACCCATATTGTGTTGTAGGTGGATAAGTAAGGGACGAATTATACAAGTACTGAAATTTATTGTTATATTTTGTTTTCAGATGATGTGAAAAAAAGATTAGGCAAGTGGCAATATGGCGTTCTCTGCTGGAAAGGGTCATAAATACTACGTTTGGTACATGGGGTGGAAAGAATGTAGATCTCTTCGTGGTCAGGATGATATCATCCCCGTTGCTAAAGCATTAGTGTCGAGACGAAGTACAAATGATGTGCCAACGTTAACTTTAGAATTTGCCAAAAAGGAATTAAAAATCACCCAGGAGAAGGAAAAACGGAAAGGGAAAATTGAAAAGATAAAATATCCTTCAATTCCGACAAAGGATATAACGTTTTCGTGTAAGGTTTACGACGATGTCGTTGGTTGTGTGTACCTGGGATTTAACCCAAAGACACAATGTGCAGTACATGTACATGTGTATAGATTTGATTCTGGCGCAACTGCAGATAGTTTCTTAAGAGACACACGTGCGATTTTTGAATCATCGGCTAACCGAGAACGCTTGAGAAAGGTTGAGGAAGAGTTATTAGCAAGTGGGCAAATAGACGCAACACGTTTGCGACGACGGGAGCAAGCTTCGGTTCCGATTGTTCCAAAATCATACATGGAAAATGAGCCTCTATCTAGAGGTGAGTACCGACGGGAAATACGTCATTCTCGCCAAAGTTCGGGTTCAAACGAAGACCAGGATCGTCGTTCTGACAGCATAGGAGGTGAAACTGAACAGTATCCCGACGAGAAAGACCTAGCATTTCTCTCTGTAAATGATGAACTAAGAGCTAAATTGAAATTAGACACCGCACCAATACTACTACCCCCAAAAGACTATGACACGGTGCGGCGGAAACATGGCGATCTTGAAGGTATAGAAGAAAGGAAAAGTCAGCAAAAACCGATAGTTGGAGATAGAGGAGCACTGTTTAGCGAAGATTATCCGCAAAGGTCAAACCAACAACATGCATATGCGGGTAACATTAAATTCACTTCTCCCAAACTTGCGATCAAAAAAAGAGATAGTTTCGAAAGTGGACAAGACTCTGGAATAGGAGGTCCTAATGAAATACCATCGCCTTCCAGCGACCATTCCAATCAAGGTTTTCCAGATCGTGATCTTGGACAAGAAATCCGATACGACGATAATGAAAAGGAGCCAGATTTGAAGATGGTTACACCCGTTTGGAAGAAACCAGACATGTACCGATACCCAACTGCACAATCATCCCTGCAGGCAACCACGGGAGCTCATGTCCAAGACGAAACTCCAGCGTCGCCCTCACGTAGAGGTTCGCAAGGCTCTTCTGTCCATTCTGCTCAAGGCTCTCACTACAGCGGTGGTAAACCTGCGTCGCGCAATGCGAGTTTTAAAAGTGATACAAGTGGCGAATATGTTCGCCATGGTTACTCCACCCCGAGGAATGCACCTGCAAGAAACAGTGCAACATTCGGCGTCGGTGATCCAGCGACAGGTGGGAATATTCAGGTAAATAATTCCAAAAGACGCTCGAGTAATTCTAGTGGACACAGCGGTGAGAATTCAATAACACATTACTCGAACCATGACAACAACGAAAGACCTCATAACCGATCTTTGTCGGAACAACACGATTATAGATATGTTCAAACGAAGGCATCAGCAGAAATGCCGGATCAGCGTTACCTGGTTGCCAAGGATCGACGATCTGCAACTGGGGAAAAACCAGACCCTAGATATCTGGAGCCTAATAGAAAACACAGTAGCGATGCAGGGATATATTCCTACTATAAATAGAGGGCACATCCACATGCATATAGTTTTTTCTCAATATATATTAGTTAAGCAAGCTTAAGCTTACATAACATGCATTTATGTCAATCGCCCGGAGGCATTACAGACATAATGAACAAGTATAAAATATAAAGCTTAGACGAAATAACAGATGGAATGAAATGAAAATGGGATGAGTAAAATTTTGGTTGAGACAGATTGGTCCAATAAGGCAACAAGGCATTACAATGTAAATTGTCGCCACCTGCCATTTGTGACAGACGCCAACCGCCGAACACTAACCGCCCACAAAAAGAGTTGGGAGACGCCACTTCTGATGGTGACATAAAAAACTATTGCTGTTCTATTTGATTGAAGTAGCATAGTTGCAATCCTATCCAGCAATACAAAGTATATACAGACGTTAGTGTCATGACGACCCATTACATCATATTTTTGTCAAAAAAGACAAGGCTCAGTCAACAGCAATACATTATCACATCCAAGAAACAGAATAAATTCAATCCCTATCATACTGTATTTATGCTGTCTAGCCATATATCATTCATATATGTATTCTCATTGTGTGTCTTGTGTTCTCGGTGAATGGTTGCATAATAATGATAATATACACGATTGATTTCTACATAATAATAAATCAATTTCATACTTTATTTATTTACTGTATTTATTTCCTGTCATAATTACGTAGTATATAAAAATTGTTGCATGACAAAAACATGGCACCATTATATGTACAGTACAGATGTAGACCCAGGTGTAAAAGGGTAGGAGGTCCTATCAAATTATGGTCCTACTCTCCATTGATTTATATGGTGACCTAAATACAACTCTTTCCCTTATTATCTTATACACAATCAGGGCCAGTAGGGGCCGTTTAGAAAGGGGACCATAATCCCCAGGGGACCATAATTTCTTAAACACCGGGATGTAGATATGGTACAACAGCATAAATCTATAAGTTGTTTTTAGAAAACATCATATACAAGTACAATTATACAATAGCTGTTAAATTGATATATAATGATGGACTATGTTACGTACACTCGATCGATATCAACGCTTACCGTCCGCCATTTTGAGAGAAGGTAGCTGCCGTTATATTCTCCCAATACCGAAGTGAATCAGACACGTGGTGATATAAACATGTAAAATATAAAATGCTGATGCCAAAATCATATCCGTGTGGTATATGATACTATAAATAAAATTGTGAAATCATTACTTTTCGACGCATATCTGATTCAATATTTGACATCACGCACAATCAGTCAGGTTCACTGAGTCGACATCCGAAATTCAAAATCTAAACAATCGCACACCCTCCATTCTGCCAAAATAGTGACTATTTAATCTTTTACGACATTCTAAATACATGTGGTGTTGAATTGCCATCTTTGAAAATGTTTTTCATATACTCAAATATCCAAAATCAAAACAAACTGAGACAAACTATTTGAAGGTTTAGGATTAGTTCATATAATATGGTCATAATTTAATGCAGGAGCCAAAACCTAGTGCATGAACTTATGTCAAACGAATGTTAACCTTTGTAAACGTAAAACAAAGTTCATTTATCATTCATTCAAGAAACTATATATATTAATATTGTGCCAATGATTATATCACATTGATAGTTTTACATTTTGTCATCATGAATTGTATTTCTGTGCTTAATGTAGTCCAGTGTAAGCTTGTTTTTGTGCATGTATACTGTAAGTAGTGACCAGTATGTCATTGTTGTGACATCAGTTAATAAAGGAATTGACATCTTCATTATAAAATGAATAAATTGGCAAATAAAAAATTGTGCATTTTTATCATTGAAAGTGGCTGTCGAATTCTATAGTCTATATGTGCATGGGCTTTTGATATAGTGACTCAGTCGTAAGATGGCCCTAGTTTTCCAAAATCGAGAGAAATATGATGCAGCATGCAATATCTGAATATAGGGATAAGAAGTACTATGTAAATTTTCTATATCGATTTTGTGAAGCTAATAAGGCCCGGGAGCTAAGGCCCACCCAGAGACATATAAAACATGTCTATGGCCCCCGTACGTCCGCCGTGGATGAAAATATGGTATAAAAGCTCCCATATGGTATACCCTAACCCCTAACCCCTAATTGGTATTTCAGGGGGAGTAAAATGGAATAGCAAATTGGGAACTGCAGTTTCAGGAATCAATGCATCTTGGGATGGCCTCAATGATTATACTTATTGAACCTTTTAGACTACATCCCACGAAAATACCCTATCACATACTGAAGTAAATATTCAATATTTCAAATATAATAAATCCACTTCTGTTTATTTCATCCATTGAATAAGATTAATTTACATTGTACATGTTCATCGTTTTCCAAATAGAAAAATATTTCACAAACTTTGTTCAGTTTCTAACACACTAGACGCATACATCACATGATTTCATTTTGTATTTCCAGTTATTCAAATATTCTTTTCTTGAATCCATTAAGTCTATTGGATAATAACATGAACTCTTATTTTTCTAACTTGAAAATGAGCCTTTTACCAAAAAATTATCACATTCTTAACAATCAAAACACCATTGGTCCCGAATAATATTTTTAACTCATTTTGGAGAAATCAGCTTTTTCAACAGGTGAGTCCCCACAATGGTGACATTTCCTTTAGTGTATAGTATACATGTGTTCAATTGAACTGTCGTGAGCTAATTATTAGTTTCTATTGATGTTGAACTCCAAGGAATGTTGAAACTCTAGGAACTGATGTCAATAATATGACATACTACATGAATACTCATAAAATATAGATTTGTGCGTTGTTGTATGATAATCTCCATTAGGGAACACTGGCTTATTCTAGAAAAACTAGATTTATATCTAACCCTACTATCACAACAAACTAGTTCTCAGTACGTTCTCGAAAATGGGCTTAACGAACAGGATGGACGTAGAATCGTTTGAGTTCGTACTCGTAGGTAAAGGGAAGTTTTGAGAACGAGGTAGAACTAATTTTCAGGACGTCATTGAACTGCTTGGCTATATTGTCAAGACGGGAATAAAGACTGCTTATGAACATGTAAGCAAAAATAGCTTTCACACCAAACTACATGTACATGTAGTTGTTATTGCATTCTTCAAAACATTGCCGAACTTAATGAACGTAGTTGCAACTTTCAACGGTCGATTATCAACGAACTTCCTTGACGTGCTAGAACGGGAAGGTGATTTAGAATTTTGAATCATTTCAAATTTCCATGACAACCAATACCGTTCTTTAATTAGATCGTGTGGCAACATACATGTACTTCAAACGAGATGACCCACTAGACTTCGAAAGTAATTGCCGTACTTCGACCCTACTAGGGGCGCGTTAACGACGTTGTTAAATCGGTAAATGTGTACTGTGCACACTGATATGGTGCGACCTGAAGAAACTACGGATGAGTCGAGGTATTGAAGTCTGTTTGTAAACGAAGTAGCTAATTATTTAAACATATTTCCCGACCACAGCCAGATTCAGCAGCTAGATTAAGCACATTTTACTTTTTTGTAGGACTGAAAAGAACGGTTGAAAAGTAGTTTGGTGTGACAGGGGGTAAATTAGCAATGCTTCAAAGATGTATTAGAGGCTTGAAAGAGGATATTATACCTGAAAGGTAAATAGTAAGTGCAATTTGATTTGGGCGAATTGCAATTGACTGTCAGGTCAGGTGGAAGCATGGAAACAATTCAGATTGTCATCATGTTTGAGACATTATCCTCAATGGCATTTTTTCTCACGGTGTGCCAACTTAATTCTTATATCATCTATGGCTCATATTGATCATCTATTATAGGATTTGGTTGTTTTCCACTAAACATCAAGTTGATGTAACTTTCTCAACGGGCATGTGTCCTGATTCGCCCATGTATCTGATGCCAACACGTCCATTAGGGCGGATATACATGTGGGTTATGCTGCCATTGTTCAAGGAGATTCTTAACCACGCTTCAGGGGGAAACTGTAAACCTCTGAAAATAGTTAACAATATTACACACAATGAGGTTTATATGTACATGTAGTGTATTCTTTACCTCTTAAACACTGTTTCTTTAAGACGATCCAGTGCTACCTTGCTATGTGTTATCTTTTTGTGCAATATTTTAGAATTTTATGGAGCATTTTACAATTTTGTATTTTTTCTGCAACAGTATTTCCTTACTTTTTACAGTAACATTTTGGGAGGGACACTCAATGATTTCAATGTGGAGAGAGTACTGTAATGTGATGTTATACCGGTTAAAGTATACAGTGTATAGTCATACCTGCACACAAAGTATCTGATGACATTAGCGTGACACACCAGAATTTCATAGCTGTCTTCTAATTGATCAGCATCAGCTCTGTGGAAGTATTTCCTAAATGCTGCTTCAATGCGGGATCCATCCTGGAAAAACTGCTAAAACAGTAAGAATGAATAGGTATAAAAACTTAATATCATTTTAAAGCTGAAATTCTAATTAAATTTCACATTAAAACATGTTTAATTCCACATGATAAACATATGCAATTTGCACAATCAACAGACTTGGACATACGCATTCTTCAAAGCTTGAAAACATCCCCACCCAGAAAAAAGAACATGTTTGAAATAAAAAATGACTTGCAACAATGCAAATTTAAAACACATTCCATTGATCTCCACAGGATTTTTTCTCAAGTGGGTGCAAAATTCTCATTTTCACAACTCAGACCAAAATTGGTCAAAATATGCCAATTTTTCCTGATTTTTCTCATTTTCATGTGGGTGCAAATGGATTCTCAGGTGGGTGCAAACCTATTATCAAAATCTCAGGTGGGTCCTGCAGCCACTTGCTTTAATGCTAGGGGAATCACATCACAGCATTCACTTTTAACAGAAGATTTACATAACAGGTAATAAATATCATACCTGATGTTCAGGTCTCCAATGGCCAACAGGTGGCTCTGGCGGTATTGGTGCTCCTTCACGTAGAAAATCACAATAGTCACGGGGCACATCTTCTGGTAAATGTTTGGTTATAATATCAGCAGTTTCTTTGGCCCGAGTCATGGTAGATGATATCAGTTTTGTCCAAGGCTGTTTCATCAGGCTTAACCTTAAACCAGTAAAATCAGCCTGTTCTTTCCCAAGAGCAGTTAATTTTCTTTCAAAATCTGTAATTCCTTCTAGATTATACTGACCATGCCTGTAATAAAATAATCATAATCATTATATAGTTCTTTGATGCCCTAAAACTGTTCTGATCTTAACATACAGTAACATACAATTACTATACATTCTGACCTGTAACAATGATTAAGTTTTGTGTGGGCCTAAAGAGGATTGGCTCCCAGGGACGCCAATCGATATTCTGTTCCATATATAGGTATCACGTAGTCATGTTATGAATACAAAATTCAATCAAGAATATCGGCCATTCTCCTTGCAGCCGTAGAAATATACAGGCCCAAATAGCAATATCACATCAGGTTGGAGATTAAAGAATATTGAGTTGGAACCCTGGCTTCCAATCCTCCTTGGTGTGTGCCTGTGCTGGTAATGGGGACTATTCTGTATGTACAGTGAAACCTGTGTATATGTACATAGAACACTCTCCTACTGGCCAATATATTGTTCATTTCAGACAGGTGTTCCTTACAGTTTTGAAATATACATGTATAGACAGGAGTTCTTAGAGAGAGGTGTTTATACGAAACTTAAGATGATAATATTATGAAGACCATGTGGGGAACAAATCATGTTTACCTTAAAATAATAAAAGGTGCGATTCTCAAGAAGCTGTTATAATTTCTCATGCTGACTTACCTAAGTGTGAATATATCAAAAGTTTCAAAAGGAAATTAATAGAAAAAGAACAAAAGAATAACTTCTTAAAATAGATGGAGAATAGAGACATTCCATGCAGAATGAAATGTATCTGTACACCTATCTAATCTCAACACATCAACATCTCAACAACTACCCATCTGAACACTTTGGCCAGTCACAGTGGTGTTCTGATTGTGCATGTTTTAGTGAAATACAGGATATCAGTATTGGTATTTGTATTAGGTGCTCAAATCTATGTTTATTAAAGTTACAAGAAATTCTATAAGGTCTTTAATTGTCATCTAATTAAGATGTAGAAAGTTGGCTGAAAGTTTATTTTCACTTTGGTATAAATATTTTGACTGTCAAACTGACATTATATTTGTACTAAACTTGATGAGACTCTTCAAAACTTACATCTTTTCAAATAGATTCGAGTCTTGAATAAACACTTAGGAAGCTATTTTAATCAACATTTAGAGTACAAGTGGAGGTCGATTATATGACCAGTTCTACATTTTGAAAAAAGGTGAACCTTATTCAAAAACAATGTCCTTATTGATATTATCTAAATTCTATATACAAAACTTCTTACCTTATAAGGAAAAGATGCCTCGTAGCTGTTGGTTTATTTTTGGCCAATCTTTTCTCATAATCAATTTCATCTTCATTATTTTTCTTTGGTCTGGTCTTAGATTCTGGGTCTCTTCTACAAACAGAAATGGAAAGACAAGGTCAAGGCATTAACATGCAAAATGTCACAACCTGCCATTTGTTACATATACTGAATGCCAAACACCAACCACCAGATGCAGACTGCCATCTATAAAAAAGTTGGAGACTGTCACAATATAACATGAAACTGTCAATTTTTGATTAATTTACATGTAATTTTAGGTCTAACTTTAATCATTGTAGCAACAGGAGAAATAAAAGAATGCCTGATCTGCCAAAATATTTGATTCATTGGACAATATTTAATTGTACAAATTCAAACCAATGCATGTATATCATTGATTGAGTAATGTTTAATTGTATAAATTCAAGCCAATGCGTGTATATCGTTGAACAGGTAATGTTTAATTGTACAAATTCAAGCCAATGCATGTATATCATTGATTGAGTAATGTTTAATTGTATAAATTCAAGCCAATGCATGTACATGTATATCATTGATTGAGTAATGTTTAATTGTATAAATTCAAGCCAATGCGTGTATATCGTTGATTAGGTAATGTTTAATTGTACATATTCAAACCAATGCATGTATATCATTGATTGAGTAATGTTTAATTGTATAAATTCAAGCCAATGCGTGTATATCATTGATTGAGTAATGTTTAATTGTATAAATTCAAGCCAATGCATGTATATCATTGATTGAGTAATGTTTAATTGTATAAATTCAAGCCAATGCGTGTATATCGTTGATTGGGTAATGTTTAATTGTACAAATTCAAGCCAATGCATGTATATCACTGATTGAGTGATGTTTAATTGTATAAATTCAAGCCAATGCGTGTATATCGTTGAACAGGTAATGTTTAATTGTATAAATTCAAACCAATGCATGTATATCACTGATTGAGTGATGTTTAATTGTATAAATTCAAGCCAATGCGTATATATCATTGATTGAGTAATGTTTAATTGTATAAATTCATGCCAATGCATGTATATCATAGACACTTACTTGTCCCAATTGTGATCCCATTTGACACTTGGCTCAGAATTAGTTGTCCATGATGCTGTGACTTGGAATGGATACTTTGGAGCATCAGGTCCATCTTTAGTGGAATAAACCCAAGCAACTGCAACAGCTACTCCTCCAACTATAGCACCACTGACTATACTGGCAGCATCAAACAATGGCTTTCCCTTGTGAATCCAACGCATTACTGTAAGTTAACTTTGGCGTTAGTTGAGGTAGATTTGTTGGACCTTTTCACTCTTGTTGTGCTGTAATACGCAAGTAACATATATAATGTTATTTCTATATGATTTCAAAACGTCCACCATCAACTCAGTAGCTTCTTATTTCATATCAAGATAAAGAAAGGTGTACGGAATATGCCTACATCAATTATAAAACATAGTCTCGCTACAAGTCTCTGTGCCCCCCCCCCCTCCGTCTACTTGACTGCAGTGGTGAATAATTGATAAGTCGTATTTGGCATTTTTTCTTGAATTTCAACATTAAATGTCCCAAACTCTCCTAAACTGCAGGAGAGTATACACTGTAAATAATATTTACCAAAATGAGTGTCTCCTAGGCTTTATACCAGCCAGCTGATACCAGTGTATGCATACATGTAATGCATTTGTCACGAGTCTGAACTCACATTTCACTAAAATGAAGTAAGGGCAATCTCTGTCAGGTTTGTTTATTGTGATTAGCTTTTAATAGTAGGTGCTCAGAAGCAAATAATTTATGAGTGCGATGTGTGCCATGTTTTTTATCGTGTTTTCGTTTCGTTCCATAGAGTTTGTGTTTCAACTTCCGCAAAAATGGCAGAACGATGACAGAATAAATAGGTAAAATCACTTCAAAATTTTCAAGGATTTTTGCCTTGCTTTATTTGTGAATTTTATTCAGGTAAGAATTTCAAGGACACATGTAGGCAAATCCATTTTTAGGAGCACTCTCTTTAATTTGAAAACCCACCATTTATCACTTACTGTTCGCACTCTAAACATCCTCAACTAGCCGGTGAAAATACGAACAAACGAATATGGTAAGCAAGAGACATAATTATTTTTGTTATCTCTAAACCTCTGAGGCTTTCCCTCCTCTTTTGTTGAAGATAATTGATTGGTGAAGAAGCAATTGTTTCCTAATTGGTAAAATTTTATTGACTAACATTGTGTCATGTCCCCCTTCATATTTTTGTATTTTCAAAAAATCTGCGTAACTTTTGAAAAATATCACAAGGCCAGGGTGCATGTTCAGAATTTTTCTGCATTCCTCAATTGAGTCACATATTATTTTTCAAACAGGAATCACTCCACGCATTGTCTACATCTTCCAGTTTTGCACAAAGAGTGCACTTATGTGCCTCGAAAAGACTGATGAGAAGATTTGTTTTGTGAAATCATGGGCTTTCAATATATCCTAGATGTGAGTAGAAATAATCTTGATTTACGTCATTAAAAATTCAGTCAAACTGATGTCATATTTGGAATCTACATGTAAAATAACATCTAGAAATGTGGTTTTGAAAAGAGTTTATCAACTTGAAAAATTAATTTTCTTTGAAAATGTGACTTCTAGGTCGGGGAGATTCCCCATAGACCCCATGTTGAAAATCCACAAAAAGTGAAATATCTTTTCTTGTGTTGGGCAGATAATATTTCCTTTTACTGGACATATTTTAATTTGTATGTTTATCACATATATAAGGGTAATATGAAAAGTGAACCACTAAAACTGATGAATATTCAGATTCAAGGGAATTTTGTAATACCCTGCGTTGTTATTTTCCCTGAATCTATACACCCAAATCAGCCACCTGGTGGCGAAACTGGTAACCACCTACTCGCATCTGAGTAATTGAATGCCCATGGTAAAATGTATGAAAAATGAGAAAATTCAGTGAAAAAATATTCTGAATTTTTTCACTGGATTTTCTTGTTTTTTTATACATTTTATCAAAACATTCTTCTTTCCATTCTTTTCTAGTTACATTTGTGCACTCGTTGTGCTAAGGTGAGAGATGTTGACATTGTGGGGAAGGAGTGCTTCAAATTTGAAAAATAATACAATGTATGTGACCCTATTGAGGGTTGTAGCAATACTGTATTCCGAACATGCACCCTGACCATAGGACTCAACATAATTCATTAAGGTTCAGCTGGAAAGTAACATTTTGATAAAAAATTGCTAATACCTGTAAGTATGAAGGCACGTGTATATTTCCTTGCTTTTTTCAGGAAAGTATCATAACAGTCGTTTACCAGAAAATAACATGCGCAAGTACTGTAGGCTGAGTAGACTCTAGCAATTTTTTACCAAAATGTTAGGCTATTTTCCAGCTGAACCTAGCCTAATTGGCATTTTTCGACCTCCAATGTCATAAAATGTTAGTCTTATGTTTCAACGTAGCTTATACGTACGTATGATCTAATCTTTTATCCAATGTATGCACCATTTACTGCAGAATTCAATGAATTAGTAGTGAAATTTAGAAGAATGTTTCAATGTGCCGGGAAACTCTGCCAGATTACGCATGTGCATTACTGGTATCCCTCCACTATTGATTTGCCGATAACCGCTGTGTAATGGTAATAAAGGACCTTATACACCCTCCATTGGGATCTCCCCATGGGAAAAAATAATTCATCTGATTTTTCAAAATGAGTATTCTGCTTCAATTATTACATTTATATTCACAGTCACACTAGTATCTTGTTGACCTATATTCAGCACTGTATTGATGTATAGGCCACTTATTAGGGTCATAATTCAATCATGAAGTGTAGAGGCATAGATTCCAAACCAGGAAGTATTTTTGTGTCTGTCAAAATCCATTTACATCCTACGCATCCCTGCATCTTATCCAAATATGTTACTACATAATGAAATATAATAGCTGAGACTAATATTAGTCTCAGATAATAGTATAATCTTTGGTTTTACAAACTTGTATGATATTTGAAAGTGTAAAAGTTGTTTTTGGAGCATTTTTATATAGCCCTTTTGTAGGGAAAAAAATGATGAAAAAATGTACAATCTTTTAATTTTAAATGACCTGAATCGATTGCAAACTTCATATTTGCACATTTGAAGAGATAAACCATTTGTGTCGTATTGTGAAATTATTAAGTTTGCAATCGATTCAGGTCATAGTGTATTTTTGGTATTTCTGTGATAATCAATGGAAACCAATGGCCTCTATTGGGATCTGCTGATATCCTCATGTTAAGTCAATGGTGCACAGCCCCATGTAAGTCAATACAACCTTACTGAACGAAATGATCCCTATCTCAGCTTATGTGTGTCCGAGCACTTTAATATTTTCCAAAGTATTATATGACATTTTATTCTTCATGTTACACCTACGAATGATTCATTTTGACCATGGGGATATTTGCCGATAATTGCACCTTGTCCTTTAGAATTTATTAAGGCACGGCCACGGATAGTGGGAAGTCCTCCATCTAGGAGGTGCAGGGGCGGATCTGGGAACCAACAGGGGGGGGGGGGCCCAAACTTGTGGTCTGAGAAAAAAAACCAAAAGTTGGCCCAAATTTTGAAATTTTGAGGCCCATTTTCTTCAAAATTTGGCCTAAAATTAACAAATAAGGCCTTATAAGGCCAATTTATGACCAAAAAGGCCTACTTTTTGGGGCCTTAAAGCCTTTTTTTGGCTCAAAATTTTTTTGGGCACAATTTTTTTTTTCTGGGCCCACCCAAGGGGGGGGGGGGGCGGGCCCCTGGGCCCCCCCCCCCCCCCCATTTCCGCCAGTGAGGTATATACACCAGGTAATGCTACTAAAAATTAAAAAAATATGAAAAAATATGGTCACCTGTCCTCTAGATTCAATTTTTGAATGAATCGTAGCATAATGTACAGATTATTTGATATCATGCTATTCTTGAAACATTTATACGCAAAAATAACTGGGTCGCTCACCTCTTATGCCTATATGTGTTCAGTAATCATCAATTCTTGTGAGTAAAATTTCTCCAGGCCATTGAAAGGTCCGCTCAGTAAATTGACAATTGAGAGGTTAAGCTACCGTATAAAATCCAGAACGCAACTTAAACGTATCAATCGGCCCTATACAAATACATGTTGAGTTCACACATAAATAGCCGTTCAGCTCTAGTGTTTGTTTAGACTACACCATAGCTTGTAATGATTACATAGTATGCCATTGATGAAGTTCAATAGCTGGTTTTCTAATACATATTTTAAACGAGCTCGTTTCGTAAGATTATTGGAGTTAAATCATGCGTTACATACATCATCTTCTTCAGAAAGAATTATACTTTGCATCGAAATCAAAATTGCAAGGATAGTATTCAACAGACATGAGTATAATGATTCCCGTTGATAGCAACGTGGAAATTTAAAATCTCCCGTTCTAAACACGCAACTTTGAAGTTGAACGGGTATCTGAAGTAGACTAAAGCGATACAATCCTATGTTGATTCAATGTACTTTGCGTTTACGTATACGTTTTGAAAAACCGTATTTGCTTAACCTCTCCAGTTTCTACTGCGCATGTATCATGGGTTGTGAAACACTGGACGAAATGGTTTGGTAAATTTCAAGCTATTTGATCGGTCGAAAAAATCACGCGCCTTTGCGTGATTTGCTTTATTCTCGCGAGATAAGGCGCTCCGTCCCCTTAAATTTTTATTTTGAACAACCATTATGATTTGGTGCATTATCTGACCAATAAAGCAGATTTGGAGGTATGAATATTTTTTTTTATTTTTCTGTTTAGTGTTTTCTACAGGCCCTATGTGTCTCAGGATATTTGTTTAACGAAAACTAGACAAATAATTTATTTTAAAAATACATATTTTTTATTTTGGATGGACATGAGAATTAATAATATAAGTAATATATGGAGGACTTCCCATAACCGTGGGCACGGCCACTGTGTTATCAGGGCATGGCCAGACTACAATTATACAAACTACATTTATACAGTTACATTTATACAGTCACATTAATCTACAAAGATATTGTGTTGTAATGGTTGCGATATTATAGATTTCTTTTTAGATCACATGTCAATGAAATGCAGAACTTCCCCCATATTTGATTTGTATGACATAATGGTATAGGAACTAGTTTTCCTCAGTCATGCTAGAAAAGTCCTTATTTGACGTTTGAATTTTATCTAATAATATAGTGCGCTCACTTTCGTAGATTTTGCATCTCATAACAAAGTGCAGCTCATCTTCAACACGATCATCTAAACATTTTGTACATATGCGTTCATCTACATTTTTATTTTTGTATCTTCCTGCTTCAACCTCTAATGAATGGTCACAGCTGAGTCTCAGCTTTATAAATAGTTTTCTTTTTTCAAAGTTATTTTCAGTAGTGAGATATTCTTCAAGATGTATATTATTTTTGAATTTTACGTACATGTAGGTTCTCATTTTACTATTGTTACTTGGTTTGCTACCAGCGCTAAGTTATTTTCATCTTCCACTGGTCATTGCATTTAGTGATAAGTTTTTGTTTAACAGATTTTAAGAATGTATTTTTTAAGGATGAATCAGGAAGTTTAACATCATTTTTATCAATGGCAATACTTTGCAGTGACTTTGCAATAAAATTGTTCCACAGACTGTATTTTTTGTATTTCACGTTTGAAAGTAATTTGCTCATTAGAGAAGTCTTTGGCAGCATGCTTATGTGCGTCCAGTATTTAATTGCACTCAAATGAATATGATATGACATTGGTACTAAGCCAGTCTCACTCAATATCGCAAAGTTACTGCAGTTGTGTTTGACATCAAGAATCCATCTGCAGCACTTTATTTGTATATTTTCAATTTTCTTCTTAAAATCAAACGGAATGTTATAAAAACCCTTCGACCTTCGACCTCCACCTTCGACCTAAAGGGTGTCCAAAAAGAAAATATTATAGAAGCTATTTTTGCCGATCTCAGACCACGCAAGAGTCATATTTTCTTTCGAAACTATATAATATTTCCATACAAGGATTTCCATATAAGTCATATAATTGTCACATACCAGATGGTTGCAAATTCGCTCCAAATACAACCAAATTTCAAAATTTTCCTGGGTGAGAACCCCCAGATCCCCCGAATGATTGTTTTTTAATTCACTCAGCTCTTGTTCCTGTGGTGGCGGCGTAATACTTAGAAAAACAGCGCTACTCCCATGACTGTATGGGGACGTGCCGCTAAAGTGGGTCACTTTTTCACCGGAAAATCCCTAGATGTGGGTCCCATTTTGAAGAAAAAACATTAGATATGAGTCCCATTTTGATATAAAATCCCTAGAACTGGGTCTACTCTTTGAAAAATCCTAAAACTAGAGCTCGAATCAAATTTAATTTACCGTCATACTTAGTAATTGGTTAAACAGACACATTTTAATTGATACAGATGGAATGCCTTCTCCTTGCAGCCGTAGAAATATTATATACATGATCGATCAACATTCCCGCATCGATTGGAGACTATAAAGATTATCATTCTCTTGTTTACTGTAGAGACACCACGACTTCCAGTGTATTTTCATGCAGGTAAGCTTTTACAAATTGCAGGGGCGTAGGAAGGTGTAAATTCAACACTACGCCAAAAATCCCGCCAAAAATATGAAACAATTGTGTCAATATTCTATATCAAAACGCCTATTTTATGCTCGTAAAATGTCATTTTATGAAAACAGAGATTTTAAGCTTGCAATGTTTTTCACAACCTAAATGTGAACGGAAATACTTAAGCGATGCATTTGTATGGGCGATTGGTCATACGTATAGGTTGGTGTTTCGATTTTATATGCAAGCTTTAAATCCCTGATACCTTTTTAATGTGCTTTAAAATGTTCGAATGATTTTCATCATTTAAAATCACCTTGGAAAGCCTATCTTTTAAATCTCGACACAAATCATTCTCACTTTGCTAATGTCTCGAACGATTGAGACGACCAATTTCCAAAACAATAAGAGATTTTTTAATAATTTTCGAATAATTGAATTTAGATATATAGTATTGTCTGATTCCATCATTTTAAGCTTGCAATGTTTTTCACAACCTAAATGTGAACGAAAATACTTAAGCGATGCATTTGTATGGGCGATTGGTCATCAGTATAGGTTGGTGTTTCGATTTTATATGCAAGCTTTAAATCCCTGATACCTTTTTAATGTGCTTTAAAATGTTCGAATGATTTCATCATTTAAAATCACCTTGGAAAGCCTATCTTTTAAATCTCGACACAAATCATTCTCACTTTGCTAATGTCTCGAACGATTGAGACGACCAATTTCCAAAACAATAAGAGATTTTTTAATAATTTTCGAATAATTGAATTTAGATAAATAGTATTGTCTGATTCCATCGTGTACCGTGCAATACAATACGTACAGATTAAAGAAACTAGTTTGATCAATTGATATGAAGAAACGCATTCGTGATCAATGAAACAAATAAACACCCCCACAACAAAGGTCAAATCGAGGTCAACGTGACTTAGGGGGTGCCAAAAATGTTATA